AGAAAATTCTAGTGCCATCCATGATCGGACCGGATAATCGACAGTTCGGCGGTCATAAAGTATGCATGTAACATTTTCTTCATCTGAAAACGGGAGCGAGAAATCAAGTTCGCCTTCAACTCGATGGATACAATTTGAGCGGCTTAGAGGTTGATATAGTTGTATCACCCATTTTAGTTTAGCGTGATGTCTGAAGGACGAGTGAGTTTCGTAGTGATCTACGTGTTTTCAATTATCGTCCAGAAACTTTTACTCAATTCTTTCCCTGGTAAAAATTGGCGATAAGAGCTGCGTTTCAAAAAAACCATAGGAATTCTTATAGCCGGCTAAAGCAGGCTACAGAAAATCATATAGCTGGCTGTAGAATGCGGAGAAAATCATACGGCCGAGCTATACGAAGCGATAAAAAATTATGCAGCCGGTCTATAGTTCTTATCGCCGGGCTTTACACTTTATCGCCTAGCTGATGCTTTTTCACCATCGATTATGAGGCTATAAGAAATTGTGTAGAAATTCGTGTGCTTTGGAAATCATTAAGTTTGATACGGAACCACCTTAATATTTACAAAACACAATTTATATTTTCCTTTAATACGTATTTTTTTTCATCAATTAAAATGAGAATAATCCATACAGGATGTGCAAACATTTCAAAATCATGAGTTGAATAACGCTGACTCCGCCAGATTATACAGGGTGTCTCACGAAAAACGAGCCACCTTGAATATCTGCCGAACGCGTCGGAATTTCGAAAAACGGTAAAATACGTGTTCGCTTATATTGAGGGGGACACCTTTTGGCGTGTTCGACATTTTCCCAAACCGCGGGAGGGGCGCGGGGCGGGGGGTGCCCCACCCGTAAGTCGAAGTTTTCAAATGGCACCCCTATTTTTTTATTTCAGAAATCAATTTTATGCAAAAAAACAAGCCACCCTGTCCAAACCGAATGTAAATCGGACAATTTTTCAGTGATTGACAGAGTTTGAAACATTTTTTTCATGCTCTTTTCAAAAATTTCCCACGCCCNTACTTCTGAGGACGCTATTTTTCCGCGGTGCGTTGTTTTTCTACTTAACTGCTTCTTCATGGATACGGTTTCTTATGCTTCAGAAAAAAGATTGATAATTCTTGTCTAAAACTTATTACTCCCTCCCGATGAGCGCCCCTCGGAAATGTTCGGTATAACGAATTTTAATGTCGCATAGAAGGGCTCCGCGTGCTCCAGATTTCGAGTACAGCAGATTTTTTTTTATTTTTTTATCGAAAGTGCAATGTTTAAGAATTTTTTTGGCGGAGAGTTTGGTTTGATACAGCAATTCCATTGGGCGTGGGAAATTTTTGAAAAGAGCATGAAAAAAATGTTTCAAACTCTGTCAATCACTGAAAAATGGTCCGATTTACATTCGGTTTGGACAGGGTGGCTTGTTTTTTTGCGTAGAATTGATTTCTGAAATAAAAAAGTAGGGGTGCCATTTGAAAACTTCGACTTACGGGTGGGGCACCCCCCGCCCCGCGCCCCTCCCGCGGTTTGGGAAAATGTCGAACACGCCAAAAGGTGTCCCCCTCGATATAAACGAACACGTCTTTTACCGTTTTTCGAAATTCCGACGCGTTCGGCAGATATTCAAGGTGGCTCGTTTTTCGTGAGACACCCTGTATATTAGAGCCTAACACAAAGCGGAGCGGCGACGCACTGGCGCCTACAAACCTAACAGGGATACTTCACGTATTGCGCAACGCGTGAAGTATCCGTGTTAGGTTTGTAGGCGCCAATGCGTGTTTCGCGCTGGCTGCCCGCCTGCCGCGCCGCAGCGTATCACGGCGCTTGATGCAACTATTTCACACCAGAGGTATTGCACAGTATCACACGAAACTGAAGGCGCTATAATACATTAGTAATGGCAGGCATCCATCAAAAGTACGGAGATTTCCTCGCAAAATAAATCAAGATACTACGGCCCTAAAAGAGAGCAGTATTCCAAAAACTCACTAAGTCCTAGCATCCGTAATTAGTAACGTTTAGCATACATTTTATCGCCTGGCTGTTGCTTAATCGCCATCGGCTATAAAAGGCTATAAGGAATTGTGTAGCCGGCTATAGAAGCTATTGGAAATCTTACAGCCGGCTGTAGGTCAATGGTATTTTGGAACACAGATTCTACTGCTAATTTTTACCAGGGCTCCACACATAAATATTTTGATATTGACATTGAGATAAGTTGCAAAAGTTAGAAGGAGGCATCGCTCTCGCGCTTAAGTCTGTATGATTGACAACGAGAGCGAGAAGTTAAGTTCGCCTTCAATTCCATGATTATGCAATTTGAGCGGCTCAGAAGTTAAATAGTTGTATCACGCATTTTAGTTTAGGATGGTGTCTAGAGAACTTGTTACTTTCTTTGTATAACCTTCGTGTTTTAAATTAATTTAAAGAAGTCATTTGGAAAATTATAATACCCTCACTTTTTGTTATCACGAAATGGTACGTTCATTTTTGTGATTCTCGATACATTTTTGTATCATGGTCGAGGAGGGAATTCAAACCACCCCGAACAATCTAGCCTTTATGATATGTTACTTTTAAGCCCTTATTACCAGTATTTCCAGTGTTTTTAGTTGATTTTTTTTTTTAAATGATGAGGAGCAATATCTATTTTTTCGACTGCGGATAGTTTTGAACTGGCTTTTCCGGATCTTAAATTCTGAACGAATGCGGCAACCCCGCCGGTGCCTGGTAAACTCTTCATCCTTTGCGCATGCTTGAAGTCAACCTTTCGGGTGACCTTTTGCCGAGTCGGCGTCTTAAATCCTGCATCTCTGCTCTCTGGCGGCGAGCGCTGCAAGGTCAAGAGCAACCTCTCGACGAAGCTCCCTGAAAATCGACATTACTGTATGATGCACTATGCACCGACGAGATAGTGTGCACTTAGCGCATTTTCTCATCCTCAACTTCTCTTGAGCATCTATGTTTTGTCAGAGAAAATTTGGCCAAGCTTAGTTGTTCATACGGTTTTTTACCTTTGCACGACACTATTGGCACCAAATGTTAGTTCAATTGGATGTCTTGTTTTGAAAACTGCCTAGCTCGGAAAAAATAAGAATGTTTTTTCCGGTCAAACACATATTTCATTATTTTATTTTTATTCTTTATACTTCTTTTTTACTTCTTTCCGTTTTTCGCGATGAAGCAAAGGCAGGCGCGAAATTCTCTCCTCATGAAAAGTGTCGAACTCCAAGGTTCAAGAAAGTTCATATTCCAGTACTGAAAGACAAAGAAATTTTGAATTCTTAGCTACGGGATTCTTTTCGGGGATTGAATTACATGTGCCAAACATTTCCCGTGAAATAAAAATGTTCGTCTGAATCCAGTTTCCTTACCCCCTGGATTTTTTTCAGAGTTGAACACTTTGCAAAACAAGATATTCAACTAATATAGGTGGCGAATCAAGGTTCGGTGCCTTACCTGATTGGATGACATCGAGGAGGGATGAGTTGAAGGAGGTAACTTTAGTCTTGAGCTTGTCGAAAATTTCTTTGGTTAAGTATTTCTTGAGCAGGGATTTGCTCTCCTGGCCCTGAAGGGTGGCGAACGCCGCTTCCAACTTTTCTAAAGTGGCTGCGTCCGTCATTTTTGTATCACTGCAACAAAGGAAAAAAACGGTTTCATAAGAACAAAGGTTTCAAAATCATGTTAGGAACACACATTGAAACAAACATTATTCAGAGAGATGTTGGAGGTTTTTCAAGTGCGATCGTTTGACATGAGAGTCTTGATTATCCGCGCTCATTGAAACTTGAGTGGATACACCGCGGTTATTCAAAAACCGCGTGTGGTTCAAAAATAAGGAACGCGGCTCGGAGAATCAACGGAAAGACCTCGGAAGAATAAAATAAAAAACTTGAAAGATTTGGGATTTATTACAGACAATTAATATTGCCACAGCTACAAGAAATGTTATTACATTTTATCTTTCAGAGACAAGATGACGAGATTATAGTGATTTCAAGAGATTTACCAATTCAACAACTAGTGTTCTTCACTTTTTCCACCGTGGATAATTAAATTCGCGGATAATAGGATCGCGTATGGCCGAGACTCTAATGATCACTTGATTCTGCGTTCGGAAAAGTCCTTGAAATTACCCGTTGACAGGTAAGTATTATCGCCTCTCACCTCCGTATCTGTTTAGAGAGCACTTCAACAGAGGTACAGTAGTGCACGATTAAATTCATTGACTTCAGAGTTGATTTATCACCTAATGCAAATCCTTCGCTTTGGAACCAGAACGAGTATGCGGTCAAATTTTATAAAACCTCAAAAATCGCATTCACCTAAATATTTGAATGTGCCAATATCGAGGCAGTGGCCCTCTCCAACCGTGAGCAGATTCGAAACGTAGGAAGAATTTTTTCGCCTTCAACTGTCGAGGTAGGCCAGAAGGCATCCTCGCGTTGCAATATTCGTCTATTTCAGGATTTGCGTTGTCTACAGATTTTGCTTCGCGTTTCACCTCGCAATTCTAATGCTGACTGTGAAATTTCTATTCAAGTCTTCACAGTTAATTACAAACAACCTTTCTTTAATTTTCTCGGTGTCTCAAATTTCTTTAGGAAAACACTGCTCCTTTAGGGTATGCAGAAAACATTACTCCTGTAAAGAGCCTCGAGTCATCGATATCCGAAGTAAGCGAAGTAAGTACTCCTCGCCTGTGCAGTGTGCAAGCGGTGGCCCCCACGTTACGATAAGTAGGGAGGATGGGGGCCTGCAATTAAGGATGCGGTCATTAAGGAGTCGCTAACCATGAGCTGCTGGTTCGACCACACAGTCGCAAATCTGCGAGAAAAACCATCGCACTCATCATGGCGGTATTCACATTCTGCAAAGACCTGGCAAACGCGTTACGCCTTTCCGCATGAATGAAGGATGACTCACAGCCGACGACGCCCCCCCCTCATTTTAACCAGCCGGCCGGCGTCGCGACGCGACGCGACCGACGTCGACGCGGCCTCCACGCGGAATCATCAATCCATCATCATCGCCTGTCACAGCACCGTTCTCGGCGGTGCGAACAACGGTTCGAAAATTATACCTGGAAAACTCTAGTTTACTCCTATATTTTCACAACTCTGCCCTGTTGTGGAAAAACGCAGTACGAACATTGGAATGTTGCCAGATTTCCCCTGATAATAATGTATTTTTGAAGCATACTACGCATGTTTTTCATTGACAATTCCAGATATATTAGATTGAAGTGCGAACCAATTTGTCTGAAAAATTGAAAGAAAAATACTGACAATTTGTTCAATAATTTTTTTAGTTTATCAAAAGAAATTTGGCAACACCTCTTAGGTTCATATGATTTTTTCCTTGGCACGGCAGAACTGAGGACGAGTTCAAAATGTTACCTACTTCTCATTCACTATTTCTTTGAATTAACATTGTGTGAGAATCCCCTCGATTCCTATTTATCCTTCAATTCGGCGGGTATGCAATTTAAGCTACTTTGAAGTTGTAATAGTTGTATCACGCGATTTGATCCTAAAGAGGGACTTAAAACGAAGCGCTCAACTTAAATATCGAAATAGAAGAATGTCTGAAAGTGGCAATGAATTTTGAGGTAGGTATTCCGGAGCGGATTTTAGGTTATAGAAAATTAAGACTTTTAGACTGATTGTGAAACTAAGACTTTTGAGCAGACTCCTTGTGCTTTTCCAGCTATGTATAACTCAAGAAAAGTTTCTATTTTAGTAAACTCTTATTCCTAATAAGGGTTAGCAACAGCTCCATTGACTGAGATATTACATGTCTCACGAAGATGCAATGTACATAGTCAGGCAGTTTCCTCAAGAGCGATCTGTCGAGGCGATCGATCGCGTCCCAACAGACTCTTTGTCTGCACCAAAGAATGCCACGCGCTACACTTTATTGAGAGCCCTTTTATAAATAGATAGAAGTACGCGAACACTTGCTTACGTGATGGAATGCATCATTCTTGTCCAGTTAAGATGATCAGATGGAGACTGAGTTTTCTAGGTTACCAGGTTATCACATGCGTTAATGGAAAACAATTCGTGAAGAATCCCTCCACGGGGTGTATAATATATTCTTTCACAAGGTTTCTGGTTCAAGGTTTCTGTCTTTTCCCGCTTGAAGAAATGGTAATCACGGTGTAGACTGACTTTTTTAATAAACGCGGTCAGTTTCAGAGAAATTTATGGTTAGTTTTTTTCAGTTTTTTCAAAAAGTATTGCGTTGGTACCGATCGGCGACCGCTAGAGAGCGATCCAAATTTAAACCTCTTTACTTCGATTGGTCGAGACCCGGCTTCAATGCGCGCCTATACTTTACTTTTTTGAACACTCTTACTCTAATTATTTGCTTGTCAAATTTTTTACTATTTTTCACGCAGGTCGTTACTTAAATATCTCCGCTCCTATTTAATTTTTTGAGGAGAAACAAGTCATCTTTATAACATGAAATTTTCACGAAATATTCTGTTAATTAACTGAGAAGAAAAATCAAGGAAGTTTTTAAGAAATTACGTTGACAAGTACATTTTTCAAAGAGAAAACAAAGTATGACAGAAATTCTGCAACGATGTAAACGGAGATACGTGGTTTTGCACTTCGGTCATCGATATGTGGGATTTTATCACTGATTCGTAGCAGTGGCGTGTCGTGGATTGCGATGTATCGATGGTTCTGCCATTTAAACCTATGGTAAATAATCGATTATTAAGATGTTCGCTGCGAACACCCAGTCTATCGATCCTTTTCTATACGTTCAAATGGCATGACAATCGATATATCGCAAAGCACGCCACGCCACTGATTTGTAGAGGTAGGATATACGACAGGCAGGTAGCAGTTAAGTTCAAGGTAAATGTGCCGACTCTGGACGAGACACACGCTGAAAGATTCCGACGTCAACATCCGCGATAAATCGCGCCGGCGCTGAGGATTAACAGATTCGGAAGACGCCCAGTTTCCGGGAGACGATATTTACGGGTCCGCTTAAGACTGTGTAAACAGTTTGCTGTAGATCAAAATATAAAAATAACAGAGGCGGGCGGATGAGGTAATATTTTCCAATCGTTCGTCAACGTCTGGGCGAGTACTGAGAGAGATTTTCCACCCTTGGACGAAAAATGGAAAAATTGGCCACACGAGACCGTACGCGGAAAAATGAACGTCACACAGTGGGTTGAGTCAATAAGAGATGTTGGACAAAATTTGGAAACTTTAAACGCTTGTAACTCCGATTATACAAAACTCATGTAACTCCGAATGCTAATAACTCCGTTAAAACGAGGTTTTAAAAGTGGTTTCGTTGGTTTTCTCGTAAAAAAATTCTTCCAAAATCATCCCTTGAAATTTGAAATGTGACGAAATCAATATCAAGATTTCCAGTCTTAGTAAAAAATTTCTTTTCCAACCTCTCAAACTGACTCGATCCACTGTGCGTCAGTCCGCGGACCGACAATTTTTGGCAGGAGATTTCTGTTCAGTTGCTGCGTAAAATTATCGATATTTGGAGGAAAACGCTTTCGTGTTTTCTAAAAATGAGGTACTCGCGGTGTTAATTTTTGTGCCGATACACACGCCACATGAGTACTTGAATTCCGTCAAATTCCCTCTTACAAATTGACGCTGAAACTCAAATCGCGTACCTCGTTCCGGTTTTTCACAATCTTCCTTTTTATTTTTTTTTTTACAAAGAAAATAAATCAAAATCATTCAGTATGTTGGAATTTTTAAGCCAATGTTTGTTAAAAATTCAGCATAAAGCCGATATTTCAATACAGAGGGGAAAAGCTCATGTACAAGCACAATTTTCTCTCAAAGAGATACGGCGCACTGCAATCACGACGAGATTAAAGTTTCAATTCGGACAAAACCGTTCCGCAGCGTTCGGTATTAGTGCAATTGCAACCGATCAGTCGGTAAAAATCCAAGGCCTCGCGAAAATGCACCGGGATAAATAAATAAAAAGCCCGAGTTAGATAGTGAGGGGAAGGGGAGAGAGGGAGTCAGGAGAACGGTACGAACCACCGAAGGCGTATAAATACTGCATGTAATAAGTATTCTGCCGTGCTGAGGAAAAACGCCGTATGAACATTCGAAAGTTGCCAAATTTCTCACAATAAAATTTTTATCTTCGCGGAAATTCATTAATATGTACTTTTCCCTGACATTTTCAGTAACTTTGGGTGAAATTGCAAACAAAATTATCTGAAAATTGGAAGAAAAATATCCATAAGTTCACCGGGAAATTCGTGTTTTATCAAAGGAAATTTGGCAACTCTCGAATGTTCATACGGCGTTTTTCCTTGGCACGGCAGTATTATATACCAGGTAAATGGTACATAGACGGGAATCGCATGGCTTTAATTGAAGGTACGGATCAATCCTGGTCCCACGGGGTGCAGTCAGCTGGGTGAGTTTCTAGGTCACGTCACATCCTGTGACGTCAGGAAGCTCTCGCGTTGGCTTGTCTCTCTTTTCCCGGCTGTTCATGGGGGAAGGAGGATAATTTTCCGGTGAAAGGGCAACGATGCTTTTATGGAGCTTTGCGGGATGCATAGCGAGGCAGGAGCACTCGCCGCGACCGCGCCGGGATGTCTCTGTGACCTCTGCGA